AATCATTGACAGACAGTTTACCAATACTTAGACCGCAATACACATGGTGATATACGCTGACGGGAAAAGGAAGAGGGTGGAGAGTATCGGTAAGACAATCATATGCTTTACGCATATTCAAATGTACACATGCATACATTGACAATATGGAAGGATTAAAGCGGTTATTGAGTAAATGAGTTAGTTCTAAAGTACTTATTAAATTTATTGATAAAATATGGTGTTATGTACTACTACTACTGGTAGTAATCAATAATAGATTTTTCATTGATTTTATCAAAAATATTCAGAAAAACAATAGATAAATAGAGGAGGGAGTATATAATAACACAAAGAGGACAGTGATTAAAAGAAGTGCATACAAACACAACCCGATAGGACAATTCTAATCTGTGCTCATGTATACACGAACAGTTGAAATAGGTAGAGGGGAAGGGTGTACAAAAATCAATAATATATCATCCTATACTTATTAAAATGTTTGTTCAGTGCACGTATTTATTTGAAATGGAAAACAATGTAATAACGAATGTAAATTATACGCAGAAACATGTGAGTATGTATGCATGTTTATGCAAGAGAGAATGTGGACAAAGATTAAATAATTTTTTAATAATTTTATGCAAATTGTAAATTTTATTTTTAAACAAGAGAATCAAACATTCATTTCCTTATTGATCTCGTTTAAAGTGCAAAATTGATATTTGAACATGAAATTGATGTTAGTTATTTTTAAGTCGAGAAAAAAATAGCAGAATACGTATCTGTAGTTTGTATTCATATCATATTAATATTAGTTGAGTTAACAATGGAAGTCAAGGAGCATTTGAGATGGAATTACCCAGCATTAGGCATATTAGTTGGGAGTAAAACAGTTGTCGCCAATGTTATGTAATGGTCATCGAAGTATATCTCAAATTGGTTGAAGTTGAAATGTTGGACACCGACATAGTAGTTTTAATGGTTAAGCATTCACTACCAGACTGGAAGGTCTTTGGTTCGTTTCTTGATGAAATTGTGTGTAAGCTCTACTGAGTCCCGCACTAGGAAGAAGCAGCTATTCAGTGCTCCTCAGTTTTTAATGATGCTTTAACTGGAATTAATCTATGGCGAATACGACCTACAAATCAAACAGATCTCCATAAAACCCCTTCAATAAAGATATTCATTTGGTTATAACTTTTCTTAAAAGTTGATATCTCACCTGGAGATCTGTTAAAAACCAGAGATTGCTGATACACAATCCGTGTTTTGTTTCAGTTTGGAGGATTTCTCAACAATCCATTCATGTACAATTCCAACATAAGATTGAACTTAGAGACTTCACATCTCAAAGCATATAAAATAACATCAAACAACCGGATTATGGTCAAATCAATCAATGCACTGCGACGTGAACATAATGCAGTGTGATTGATGTGTTAATGTTTTATTCATTTAAATTGATTGACTTCGTAGGTCATAGTTTCTTGATAGGAATTCAAGAAATGCAAACGGAACCTGGTCACTAAGAATAATAGTAATAATAAAAAGTAAACGACTAGAATTTATCTTGTTTTATAGGTATCAATGCCAAGGTTGAACTTGATGGTTTCAAATTAACTGATCATTGGGTAGAAAGCTAATAATAAATATATTTTTTTGTTGTTATATCCCAATGAGTAGAAAAATTGTATTTCTGACGTTTCGTCACTTAATGTAAGCCACTTCTACAGAGTAAATAAACAACCGAATTAAATTAACACAAGTTTAAAATAGTACAAAGGAAACAATGCAAAACATTTTTAGTACAATCAAAATCACCATAGGTTTGCATATGTCAATGTCAAGTTATTCTTGGTCAAGGTGAATTTGTATGACCTGTCACTGTATTAAATTGTGCGTCAGAATGTGGGTATGAAAAATGTATGCATTTGTAATATAAAGTAGTGAGGTTTAGATTAGATATGTGTGTGTATGAAAATTGTGTGGAAAATAAGGTCATATGTGGTTGTTTGGATAAACAGTCCAAGTTGAATGAACATTCAGGCCTTCTTTCTTATTGAAGGCAGAGGGATTTGGCATAATGTGAAACGTTTCGGCTACTCGCCTCTCTTTGTAATTGGAAAAGCCCTTCTGAATTATTTTGATACTTTTAGTCTCGATTTGGTGAAAATAGCATGCACTGCTATTGCTGATTAAACCAGTAAATTGTCCAATTCTACACGATCATTAGGTCTTTTTGTGTAAATTAAATGTTCCTTGACACGAGTCGAGACCTCACGGGGAGAATCTCCAATACAGAATGCATCACAATTGACACAACTTAATCTGTAGACACAATTTTGTGTGGAAGTGAACGGGATAGTATCTTTATTTTAACTAAATAGTTTCTTAGAGTGTTAGTTATCTTATAGAAAGCTTCAATTTTGTGCGTTTCCAATGTCCGTTGTAATTCTTCTGTTGTACCTTGGTGGTAAAGTGAAACCACAGTACCAATCCAAGATCTTTTATTAGGATTGTTATTTACAGACGGATAGTTTTGTTTTAATGTTTTTAATATTTTCAGGGAAATTATTAAATCGTAGCATGTTTATTATATTCTCTTTTTCTTTTAGTTTTCCTTCTTCTGAAGTAATGATCCTGGTTGCTCTTCTGAAAAGATTCAGGGATAGGGAAAGTTTCGCACTGAATGGATGTACAGAGTTAAAATCAATATACCGATCAGAATGTGTCGGTTTTCGGTATATGGTTAGATTTAGACTACCATTAGAATTCCTTTAAACTAAATAGTTTGAGAAAGGTAGTTTGCTATGTTCATCTATTTCAAAAGTGAATTTGATGTGTTCTGAGAGCTTGTTTATGTTTTTGGAGAAATTTCTAAGTAAGGTCTTTTTAATGATGACAAATGTGTCATCTACATATCTGAGCCAGATGCGTGGTCTGATGGTGCTAGCAAAAATGAGCGACTCAGTATGGGACATAAATAAGTCTCGGTCAATCTGAGATAATGGAGATCACATAGCTACTCCATTTATTTGTTACATATGGTACCTTTAGAAGGGAAAAGTGTTGAGTTCAAGCACAATTTCAAGGATTTGATGATTAAAATAGATAGAGTATTATCATTCTCTAGTGAACCATTAGTGAAGTCTAGACATCTGTCAATTGGAATGATAGTTTATAAAGATACATTATAGCTTACCACTGTTTCGTTCACGTTGATGGATAACTTCAAGACTTTTGATTTGAATTCGTATGAATCCTTTAAGACATTAATTAGATTGTGTTGAAGTGGCTTCAGTATGCTGTTTAGACATTTAGATCAATCATATGTCGAGGTATTCGTGAAGTCCACTATGGGTTTTAAAGGAATGTCAAGCTTGTCATATTTGGTGGCCCATAGAATCGTGATATGGTGTTAGATTTAGAGTATAAAGTAAACTATAGGGAAACGCCAGTAAATTGCTTTAGTTCTTTCAGAATTCACTTGTCTCTGATTTAAATTTATTTTTAACCACTTGAAGATTCTTTGAATCGATCTTCAAATTTGGTCCCGTCGATAGATGTTAAAGGGCTTTTCCTTCATAGCCACTCTTGCTGAAGACCGCTGTTGTATTCCCTTTGTCAGCTTAGGTAATGACAATCGTTCTATCTTTCTGCAATGAGTGCAAAGCTTTCCATTCTTCTTTGGAAACATTAGGTGGAACGGATATTTGTTTTGTCAATATGTTCCATGTTTCTTGACATAATATATGCGATTGCTTGTCTGGACGTTTTTCGAGTACTGGTTCTAGGATTGCGGCGACTTCTACACACACAGACCTAGTCTCAACCTCACTACTTTATATTACAAATGCATACATTTTTCATACCCACATTCTGACGCACAATTTAATACAGTGACAGGTCATACAAATTCACCTTGACCAAGAATAACTTGACATTGACATATGCAAACCTATGGTGATTTTGATTGTACTAAAAAGTTTTTGCATTGTTTCCTTTGTACTATTTTAAACTTGTGTTAATTTAATTCGGTTGTTTATTTACTCTGTAGAAGTGGCTTACATTAAGTGACGAAACGTCAGAAATACAATTTTTCTACTCATTGGGATATAACAACAAAATTGTATTATCTTGTTTTGTAAAGTTTGTAAGTGTTACTAATCAGTTCTGTACGACAACGATTCGTTGAATAGAGTATGTTGTAACTATATATATATATATATATATATATATAACCACAGGAATTTCTCTGCAGGCCTAGAAGTTTAGTTAGTCAGTCATAGGTAAAATAGATTTTGGAACATTTTTGAGTAGGTTTAGGTCGCCAAACCACAGAAGCACTGAGAAATGACAGTTTTGGTAAAAGATCTTTTAATTATGAACGATTAAAGCTTTTATGGACCCACTGATAACGGAAAGTAACGATATTGAAAAACTATTTGTTTCTCTCTTTCGAGCGTGAATTTAATTTTTTTATGTGTTAAAATTAAAGTTGATAAAACTGAGTTATTTCGAGTAACATCATAATGAACCATTTTTATTAAATTGTCTTATTGACAATTAAAATATTGATTATCATGCGATATTGCGTAACTACTTTTTCAACAATTAAGATAAAAGCATGATTTATTTTTTGAATGTTGCATTACTAATGTAACAAATTTTAAAACCAAATTGCAATTATAAATGAAAGATGATATAATCTATACGTGTAATTCGGCATAGATGTGAAAAAAGATCGGTCAAATTAATGATGCGAATTAATGTAGAATGAAGACCATAGTGGAAACCTCCTAATACCTAAAATAATTTTGGTGGTTAATGAAACACGGTGGTAGGAATGTTTTGTTGACTAGGGCCAAGCGAAGTTTCCTACTCGACAATAAAAAACCATTTAGCATCAACGAATTTAAGTGAACAGTACTTCAAATTGTGGGCAGTAAATTAAGGGTGTTATGAAAATATATACATAAATCTCCTGAACAACCTTTTTCTAATTAAAAAAATCTCACTTTTGTACATAAATATTTCTTGATAACTCATTGAATTTTTCATCAGATGTAACATTATACTGATTTGATTGCATAATAGAATCATTGAGGAACATTTGAACTTGTTCTTCAGTGATTTTACGTTGTTCTTGTATATCATGGAAATTTGACATAATTAATATGGGCAGTTTTGGAGGAATTTGTACAAGTTCACGACATACATATTCAAATGTCCTATATGGAAATTTATACAGCGAATGAGAGTGGTTAAAAATAAACTTTCATGAAGAATAAGGAAATTAAAAGTATGGATAGTAAAGCATATATTGCCTGATAATTTTCGAAATCAGCAAAAAACGTATCACGGAACTTTCAGAAGGAAGTAGGTAACAGAATAAAACACCCCAAGGGATTGAACAGGCAATGATATCGAAGAGGGTTTTACAAAAAAGGATATAGTTCACCATAACTCGAGTTTTGAGAATATTCCGTATGGGAGTATGTTGTTTCAGACAAAGAAACGAGCATATCTGAAGTCAATGAAATTAGGATTGAGAAGCAGTCTCATTGATGATAGTACGAGGATTGTACTATAACACGGAGTGACTGCATTTAGAAAGAGTGGAACATTGGACTACGTCTTGGTGATTATATGATGTTGCATTGATTTCGAGAGCTGAACTTTCTACTGAGTTCAGCATTATGTTGAATCATGAGTGTGTATACTGGTCAAAAGTTCAAATGAAAACTATTCAATGCTTCCCAGATGAAGTTATTCGCATTTCGGATGAGAATTATTTTTGAACTATAAAGTCTGTATGAAATCACTTGATTCAAATATTCTATATGATCGCTATATTTATTGCATTCATGTTTGAATTACAGAGATGATATCGGCTTAGGGAAAAACTAGATTTCTATATTATTCTGAGTTTTAGGACAACTTATGTACATAAAACTACCAATTTCAAAAGTTTAAAGTTTCTACAAAACAATCTGGCTAAATAATAAGTACTTTTTCACTAGTAACCAGGTTTAAAACTTTTTCACACTTCTAATAAGCTGCAACTTATGAAGACAACCAAAATTTATTTATGACGTTGGGTGAATATTATGAAATATCAGCAAGTGATCAAATTTGGATATATGAAGTGTTGGGTATCACTACTTATTCATCTAAATGCATTGTACTTATTGTAAGATGCAAGCGTCTTGAGATCAATGGATTTTATGTGAATTTATGGCTGGGTACTGAAACTGTTACTGGGTCACAATTGATTGATCACTGGGTGGTGATCAGTGTCATGCTTGTCTAGTCCTTATTAGTGCAGATCGAATGCTATCGATCATGTTGCAATGTGGCCACCAGTCTAGGTGACTCGACACTGCGGGCACTATGTATTGAGATTTTAGATGGTGGTTGGAGGTAGTCAACAAGAAACCCTGGACCCGGGTTTCGTGCTACTTGGCACTCGTCAGCAAGGTGTGCCTATAGTCTTGAGGGAACTGGTGCTCCCTGGCGGATTCGATCTCGTGTCACCCAGCTTCACAGTCAGAGACGTTACCACTGAGCTATCCGAGCCGTGACATTGCAACATGATCGATAGCATTCGATCTGCACTAATAAGGACTAGACAAGCATGAGATTGATCACCACCCAGTGATCAATCAGTTGTGATTACATCTCAGTCCTACAGGAGGTTAGTCACGGCTCGGATAGCTCAGTGGTAACGTCTCTGACTGTGAAGCTGGGTGACACGAGATCGAATCCGCCAGGGAGCACCAGTTCCCTCGAGATTACAGGTACACCTTGCTGACGAGTGCCAAGTAGCACGAAACCCGGGTCCAGGGTTTACTGTTGACTACCTCCAACCACCATCTAACTGTTACTGGGTACTTGAACTATGGCGAAATAGCTGTCTATTTCTCTTTAATTTTCACTGATATATCAGCTGACATTATCTTACGACTCAAACTCAGATAAAGTATCTATTCTCGTTCATTTGCTTCGATAGTTATGTTTTAAGTCAGCTTATATGAAATAATTATGCCATTGTAAATTGAGTTACACAACTGAACTGTCAAACATCTGATCGAATATACTAATTCAATAATTTCCATTATATATATATATATATATATATATATATATATATATATATATATATATATATATATATATATATAATTCGACAGAAAGTGAACAACACTGGTCAAAGTTATCATCATAGTCATCAGGAAAATCAAATCAATGCATTTCTTTGCGGAAAACCTATCGACTTTACACACGTAATTTACCTGGTCTAAATTTAATAGGGTGTTTGTTTTTCCCAATGCCTACACCAAATTATTTAAGATGAATCATAAATTTATTCAGGATACTTATCTTTTCTCTGATTGGCCAGTTTTGACCTTGAATTTTTCTTACTATCTTCCTGACATTTTTTCCATGGATATCACTACATTATTGATTTTTGCCATATTATTGTGTGTTTTCCTTTTTCTCCTATAAAACACAAGGCCTGTGGTTTGCAAATACACAAACAGGAATATTTAGCAGTAATTTCAGTAAATGGTAACTAATCACTAGGAAAAGAAGTCATTCATTTTATTCACCATAAAGGGTTTATGGAAATTTATGAGTTACATGGTTTATGCCAAGAACTGAGTTAGGTAATCTTTAAAAACCAGAAAGCGCTGGACAACGGTTTCGTTCTAATATGGAACCTTTTAGTAGTGAGCACTCACAAACCCACCACAGGGGGTAGAACTCAGGACCTCCGGTCTTACATGTGAACGTTTAAAGTCTAGACTACTGGACCGGGACCCAACAATTGACATGTTTCACCCCAATCACTTCGTAATATCGCGCGACCATGTTCATAGTTAAGTTTTCATCATTCCTGACAATATGAAATTGGGGATACGGAGCATGTCGGTTCAATCTATTTTACCTTCTTAAAAGTACAGTAAAAAATAATATTAAAAAGATTTCGGGAATCAAATATGAAATAGGCTAACTGCTCAACAGAAATTATCTATGGACATTGAACAGTCCCAAATGTGCAACGTTACGCAGTCTAAGATTAGGATAAAACATTTGTCCGTTGATTTACGTTTTTCAATGGTTGTGCCTAGTGATAAAGTCAGTCCATGATGTAAATTATAAACTGAAAAAGGATCTCCATAAACCTCATCGATATAAAAAATATTTGGAATTTCCTCGTTTTATATTAATTCAAAGACCATAGTCTATGTGACAGAATGTAAGAGTAATTCTCCAAGATTTAGAGTCGTTGGACGATAAAAATAGTGGTTCTACAAAATACTACAACCGACTACTAGTGCTAAGTGCTAATGAAAGTCGATCGATCAGGAAAATCAATACAGATATCGATTGATACAGTGTATTAAAAAATAATTTGTTTTGTTGTTATTTCTCTCATTAAAGTTACCAATGAATATATTTAATTAAACTTGACCCATTTTTTTGTTGATATCAGTAGTATAAATTACAAGTGAATGTGAAAACAGAAAATTTTACAAATAGTAGTAGTATATATTGATAAGTTTAAAAGCATGACCTTGATAATCGGTAATACCAAATGCGTAATTAACCTATCTACATAGAAAGTAATGAACATATATGAAAATTATGTGCAAATGTTGTATACACTTTCGGCGGATGTCACATCTTCAAAGCATGATAATAGTTATTAGAGTTAAACACTATTCTACCTTATAAATTATACCTACTATTTATTTAATTAAAAGTTAGGTCATACTTGAATCAATAATAATAATAATAATAATAATAATAATAATAATAATAATAATTCAATTTCAATTTCTTTACTAAATCAACTTAATTTAGTGTTCACTAAAGAAACGTATTAATAGTGAGAAAAGTAGACGATTATTAAACTGAAACGTGATTACTAGAGCGCAAATGTGCTGGGTATGAGATAGTTATGCATGTAAGATAATGAAAGATGGTTAATTAATATGAAAAAGTGATTGAAGATAGATGTGTACATCATTGTATTCCAGCCCAGTGATCTGAAGATTAAGTGTTCGCGTATGCCACCGAAGGTCTCGAGTTCGATCCCTTGGGATGGGGTTTCGGGTTCACACAGTTTGAGAGTCCCATACTAGGACAAACAAGCTGTCCAGTATGTACTGATATTGACAACACTTAAGAGTATCCACAAGTTTCTATAAACTTAAGGTGAAGAAATTACGGACAACAAAATGCTGTACGGGTTGTCCAAATTTAAAAGATTATGTTTTTGGAAGCATTACGAGGCAACTCGATCGATTTTAAATACTTCAACATCAGAAACCACTTAGTATATTACTTGTATAAAAGCAAATCTTAATTCATTAACCATTCACCGTTTAAAATTTTTCACCGAAATAATCCAAAATAAGACGAAAGTATTAGTAATCTACGACGAAAAGTCTGTTTTCATGACGTTCTTCGATATAATAATTTTTGAAAATATGATAAAATATTTTCGGATTATTCAGTGCACTACTTAAATCTTTATAACAGTAGATAAGAATATCTCGGTGGATTAGGTGTCAAGTTGTATTGAATAATTGATGAAGGGGTTATATTTAGAGTGTCAATATTATAACCAACATGAAATGTTTTACTGAACCTAAAACGACTGTAAACTAATGACAAATAGTCTGATTATTCTGTATAATCCCTTTATCTTGACACAATTGATTGAATGGAAACGAAGCGGAGTTTGAGTCGATTTACAAATTACACTAACTGATATTATATTTAACAAGTAATTTCAATATATAACGGCTTACAAAATGAGTATTCTCTGAAGATAACAAAAACAATTTAATATTCCGTTGAATTATTAATATTTTGGTAGTATCATAGGTACATAACCAAAAAGTTAAAATTTCAACTTACGATGATTTTGTCATATCCATCATTAAGATAACACCATGTGCACCTTTGTAGACATTAATAAAACTTGCATCTAGACATGGTTCAATATTACCCTGTTATAGAGGAAAAGGTTAAAATGCGAATAAATGGGCATAAAATCTGAACAAAAGATTTTTGAATTAAAAAGAATTATAGTAGCCGATTAAAATTTGGGAACTAAGTCAAGTGGAATGGTATTATGATGTATTGTATATATGTTATATATTTGGGGTTAGGTTGAAACGAAGCTCTGAATTTAAATTCTTTTGACTTATAGTCTAAATACCAAACATCTAATGCACACTCAATTACGAGAATTGTTTCTAAGAAGGTGAAGGGAGTAAATAGCACCATGGTAATGTCTCCGATTGGAAGTTTTAAAATTAGGTTCAGATGTTGAGTGAAGAAAGGTTTTTCATCAGTTTGTGAACACTTAATTGAATTAATTCAACGAGTAGATACAGTCTGAAGAAAAATGTGGTGTTTGAGAACTCGCTATTTAAACTTTGATACATTAATTTTTTATTAGAGTACCCTACATCGATAAATGGTGATGGGATTACAAAAATGAATTATCAAAAACTTAGATAAAAATAAGATATTGATTCCAAGTTCTTTGTAGTCTTATAATCAAAGTATACAAAATAGCAGGACGAAGAGATTTGTGTGCATTTGTATCTTGTAAGATTTCCATCAGAATGATCTTATAATAGTCTTAAAATACTTGGTATTATTATAATCATTTGTAATGAAACAGTTCCTTCAAACAATAGAATTGTCATGAAACCTCTGTAAGATTCCTGTTCTATCGAAACCTTTCATCTCCTGAATATATTAAAGCTAATATTTCTATATAAAGTGAACTCGTTTACTATTTATACATTTGAGGCTTTTCAAAGGAATGTTACACGAGGTTGAACAAATGCAAGATTAAGTGGTGAGCCAATAGAGTGTCATAAATGTTAAGTTAATTTTCTGAAGCTACTCATATATATGTCAGTAGTTAAAGAATAAATAACTCCAACTATGGCTCTTTTAGGGTTACTGCCATTCCAAAGCCTACAAAAAGGAAGGGGGGTATGGGGTCAGCAACCTGATCACGTAGAAAAACAACCTTGCCAGAAAACGTTAACCAGAATAAACAAAATGAAACATTTAAACTCTTCCTCCGAATTGAAGGATCTTCGTTCAGAAGAATTATGACACCTCATGGTGAAAGTCCAGATTCCTCGAAAATCACGAGGTCGATGCCCCTTCTAACAACCAGAGCAACAATTAACATAAGAACATAGAATGTCCGAACAATATGGGAGACCGGGAGGACCAGTCAAATAGCTACGGAAATGAGGAGATACAACTTGACGATTCTCGGAATCATTGAAACCTATTGGACCCAAGCTGGACAGAAAAGAATAGATTCAGGATAAATACTGCTGTACTCGGATCACGAATAAGAACATGCTCAGCACACTCAGAAAGTTGCTTTGATGCTGTCAAAAGAGGTGCATGAAGCACTTGTAGGATGGAAATCTCACGAACCCAGAATCATCAAAGCATCCTACAAAACAAACAACAAAGGGTTCATAATGAATGCTATCCAATGTTATGCACCCACCAATGATAGCAACAACGACAATAAATATCACTTTTGTGAGAGGCTGCAATCAATCACAGTGAAGTGCTCAGAAAAGGACCTGGTCGTCAGGATAGGAGACTTAAACGCCAAAGTTGGAATGGACAACATCGGATATCAAGATATCATGGGACGACATGGATTGACTAGGAGAAACCAACGAGAATGGTGGCAGATTTGCAAACCTATGTGCATTCAACAAAATGATTATAGACGGCACAATATTCCTCCGCAAACACACATATAAAGCTACATGGGTCTGGCTCACCGGATCGCACTACGCAGAATCAGATCGACCATATTTGCATCACTAAGAAATCAGGTCAACGACAGACGTGAGAACTAGGAGAGGAGCTAACATAACTTCAGATCACCAGCATTTGGTGGTTGCCAAGATGAAATCGAAGATAAAAAAAAGCACTGGAAAACTGCACAAACAGCATGACAAAGGTTCAATACAGTCTTTCTTCAAGATAAGGACAAACTCAACAACAGGTTCAAAGCCCTACAAGTTCTACTTAAAGAAGATGAAACTACTATGGAGAACAATTGGAAAAAGATCAAAGAAGCATTAACTTCAACGTATAAGGAGGTTCTGGGTTGCAAGAGGCATTATCATAAGGAATGGACCTCTATCAACAAAATTCAAGAAAGGAAGACCAAGAAGACAACGATTAACAATAGCCAAACAAGAGCAGAGAAAGTGATGACACAAGCTGAATACAGAGAAGCAAACAATCAAGTGAAAAAAAGCATTAGAACTGATAAGCAGAAATACTTGGAAGACTTAGCAACAACAGAGGAAAAAACTGAAACAGAAGGAAATGTCAAACAACTATGTGACACAACGAAGAAACTGGTGGGGAAATATAGTAAACCAGAGAGGCCGGTCAAGGACAAAGAAGGCAAGCCAATCACTGAAATTTAAAAACGTCTGAACGGATAGATGGAACACTTTGAGAAACTCTTGAGTAGACCAGCTTCATTGGATCCACTGGATATTGAAGCAGCACACACAAGCCTTCCTTCAGATGTCACCCCACCAACGATCGAAGAAATCAGGATGGCCATGAGACAAGTCAACAGTGGGGAGTTAGTAGGACCTAACAATATAACAAACGAAGCACTGAAATCAGACATGGAAGTAATTGCAAACGCGCTCCACGTCCTATTCAGGAAGATTTGGTAGGAAGAACAAGTGACACAGCAGACTAGAAAAAAGCATACCTCATCAAGATACCAAAGAAAGGAGATCTGAGCAAATATGAGAACTACAGAGGCATCACAGTACTGTTAGTACCGAGAAAAGTTTTCAGAAGAGTGTTGCTGAGCCGGACGAAAGACTCAGTAAACGCCCAACTTCGAGATCAACAGACCGGATTCCGTAAGCATCGGTCGTGCACAAACCAAATCGTGACACTACGGATAACTGTCGAATGCTTTCTCATAGTCAAGAATTTTTATTTATTTATTTTAACACATAGATATTGGTACAAGGAGGCACCAAATACATATGCGCCACGCATATGCAAGGTCGTGAATGGAGCACAGCTGACAAACTCATTCCAAGTAAGCACCGAAGACAGACGACGCTGCTTACTCTCTCCCTTTCTCTTTTTTATGGTGGTTTGCTGGATCATTAAGACCTCCATATCTCAGTTGAAGCACAAAATACAATGGACAGCTTGGATGCAACTAGACGATTTGGACTTTGCAGGTGACCCGACTCTTCTATCCCACGCACATACACACACCAACAAACTCAGGTCAAGACAACCAGTGTAGCATCAGTAGGCCTCAACATACACAAGGGAAATAGCAACATTCTCAAATACAACACAGAGAACACCAACCCAGTCACACGATTTAGAAACTCCAGAAGATGTGAAATTCTTCACGTACCTGGGAAGCATCATCGATGAACAAGGGGGGTCTGATGCAGACTTAAAGGACAGGATTGGCAAAGCAGCGGCATCATTTCTACAGTTAAAGAACATATGGAACTCAAAACAACTGTCAACCAGTATCAAAGTCACAATCTTCAACACGAACATCAAGACAGTTCTACTGTATGGAGCCAGAACGTGGAGAACTACAACAACCATCATCAAGAAGGTAAAAGTATTTATAAATAGTTGTCTACGCAAGATATTCAACATCCATTGGCCGGAAACAATTAGCACAACCTATTATGCAAGAGAACAGATCAACTTACAACTGAAGAGAAAATTAGGAAAAGACGTTGGAGGACGCTTCTTTTACTTTAGGATGTGTAGAAACTATGATTTCATTCACGCGTTGATTTTACAACTGTATTATATTTTTACTCTAGTTTTAGTAAATCGTTCTTATGCGTTGCAAATAATGGAATAGTGTTGGAGTACTCAAGTGTAAGGAAATGCAGCTTAGTTTTACTCAAAAGTTGGTAAAAATTCTCAGTTCATATAAACTAGCATTAGTGTCTCTTTGGAGTAGAACTGATTTCTTATGATACTTTGTTGAAATATTTCACCTCCAATAGCTAAAGTACTCTGCAAATTGCTGAACAAATCCCATGAACGGACAATGTCAGGCATCTGGAACGTAAAAAAACTGCCACTCAAGACCAAAGTCAGAATTTGCAGTACAAACGTCGAGACAGTTCTGTTGTATGGAGATGAAACTTGGAGGGCAACTAAAGCAATTGTCAAAAAAGTACAGGTATTCATAAACAGTTGTCTATGCAAGATACTCCAGATCCGTTGACTGGATAGCATCAGCAACAACCTACCCTTGCAGAGAGCAAACCATGTTCTATCTGAAGAGGAAATTAGGAAAAGGTGCTGGAGGTGTGTAGGACACAAATTGTGGAAATTACCAAACCGTATCACAAAGCAGGTCCTAGCTTAGAATCTTGAAGGCAGAACAAAAAGAGGCAGACCAAAGAACACAGCGCGCCAGGAATTGGATGCAGACTCTGAAAGAATGAACAAAACTTGATAACAACTGGAAAGGAGAGCCCATGACAGAGTTAGCTGGAGAATCCTGTTTGGAGACCTATGCTTCACGAGGGGTGACAGACATAGGTAAGTAATCTAAATACTCAGTACCAAGTAGCCCTAAATCAAAATGACAGTAACCCCTACTAATGATAAGGAAACTAATATGAGATAAATAAAGAGGGAATTAGATTCTCTTATCAGTATACTTTATTCAAGTAGCTAACTGAACACGGGAATGTAGTAATTTATAAACTAAATCATTACTGAAGAAGACATAATGATATTTCTCTTTGAATTGTATAAAGCTTTATTAACATAGTAATTAATAGTGACTACCTAATGTAAATGGATTTAAGCTTGTCTTGAAACATAACTCCTAGTACATATATTATTTATATTCAAGCTAAATCAGGATGATCGGATAATTTGAGAATGGTAAATTATAAGAATTTATATGCAAGCTTAATCCCATTTAACATACTTTTTTATTACACTGAAACTTACTAAATGTAACGAACATATAATTATGCATCTTGAAGACAGTCCCAGTTAAAAAATATGTCAAACAGTCTGTATGCTAAAATAATTATTAAGCTGAACATTACAGTGAATTTTTCTGAAGTAGGATCCCTCATGAAACAAATATTCCTTTCCTGCTCCTCCCCCAACTTCACCAATATAACAATGGTCTTGAGAAAATACAAGTTAAGCAATAGTTTAACCGAAGTATTCTATTAGGTACTTGATTTGAACCTAAATGCGAGTGTGAATCTATCATGAATAGGTCTACAGAAGCGTTTCCGATTTTCGTAGTAGGTGACACAGGTTACGAATATTTGATGAGGTATCCATTTCTTCAAAATTACAGATATATTCATAATTTAAATTACGAACTGATCTTAGTTGGGTCTCCCTGTGGTGAATGCTGCTTATGCTGAGAAATATAAGTAGCAAGTAGCACCAATCGAAAGTGCGACACCTGGTAGTAGGAAATTGAAGTGAAGAGAAGAGGGAGGGAAGCAAAGAGGAATTGGAATAACAACCAAATTTAAAGAATGGAGAAATATGTACAGGACAACTGATGGAAGATGTGCAGATAATGTATTGACTGTATGATGTTCACATTTTGCGAAAGCACTAAGTAATTTGCATAAAAAAGTTTTCCCCATCAAGTCATTATACACTACATCACCATAGAAGACCTGGAAGCACTGGACGGCAGTTCCGTCCTAGTTAGAACTTTTAAGCAGTGCCCATCCACAATCCCGCATTTAGGGATTGAATCCAGGGCATTCAGTGGTGCTTACCAGTAAGTTTGAAATCTGAGTGTATGGCATCCTGCTGACTACCTAGAATCAATACTCATTGAAATACACTAAACAAAATTGACACAATTTGACACAGTTACTAATAAGTAATATAACATGAAAACTTAAGAAAATAATAACTCACAGCCTGTCCACCAATATTGATAACAGGTTGGCCTTTTGTTAGTTTGTTGAAAAATTTCAAGCCTTTCGAAGCACTACTCCTAGGTTTACCTTTATCAACAACATCCCAAACTTCTACTTTAATTACACTTTGGGAATTCTGATGATTCCAATGAATGTTAGCCAACTGTCGAATGAAAATAATATCCAATGGATAAAAATTTTAGTACGATTTATTCAAATAATATCAAAGTGTAAATCTAACGGTCAAAAATAGTAATGTTATTAAGAATTAACTTGAGGACGCTTTAATTATAACGAAGTATTACAGTACATAATTAGGTAACATTCACGTGGAAATGTTACAAAACGTTTCTATCATGAGATTACTTATTGGTGTTGGCACGAGACTACGCATCCAACAAACAACTCTATAATCATTACATTTTCCAAAACCTAATAAACCCTATACATGAGGGATTATAAAACACCGAAAGGCGGGGGGGGAACACAGCTAAACTCTATGTCAAAAAAATCAGAAGTGAACATTCAATGGAATGTGGGGATTATATAAACAGGAACTGTAATAGTGAAGCACTGGACACAATATCGTATAATGATCCAATATGGTTAAAGAACGTGACCACAATCTAATATTAATCATTCTACAGTTCAATTATTGAACTTACTTTGTAATGTATGCAGGGAAAACTAATATTTAAGTAAGTTTGGCAACTACGATACGCTAGAATTTTTCAACATTGAACAGAGCTGAAGATACAAACACGATTAAAGAATCAACTTTTAACACCTACACTAGTTTGTAAGAAGATAGACACGATACGACAGTTTCAAAGGCGTATTTACAGAACCACTTACATAATGTGAACAATCTCCCGTCTATTAGCGAAAGTAATGTATGCTTAGGTAATCCTATGTACGCACTATTATTTACAACAAAATTTCAGCTTCATCAATTTAAGACTATTACTTATTACGGGGCACTAATTATATGACTTTTTATTTGCCCTTCAAATAATTGACATTTTATTGATGTTACTTTGAAAACCATAACTCTGATTTACTCGTATTTTTGAAGTTTTCGTAAGTTTGAAACTTTGTGCTCCCTTAATCCATTTCTAACTTACACCTACTCCAACCAGTTTAGCATACAAATGTTGCAATTACCAAAATCGATGAAGGTTTGAAATCATATCAACTGGTTTAAAATCTATATTCAATTACTTTATACTTAAACACTAGGATTGTTTATTTGTTGACTGCAATATACACGAGATCGTTTAAAGATTATTTAATGGAATTCTTTTACATTTGTAAGACAATACATAGAACTAGTGCGTAATACATTCACTTTGACAAGCATTCTAATATTTTAACTGCAGCATAGGTAATATAATTTGGCAAAAACTAAAGTTTGTGCTTACAAAGAGGTTCCACCAATGCATCAAACCGATAAACCCCTAAGCTTAGTGATAAACCCATTCAATCACATCTCCTCATGTTAAACTGGGTGGTGATGTATATCAGTCTTGAAGCAACATGCTGCGATTGGGAAACGAGGAGCATATCCCGAAATTCAGATTTTATTGCCTGATATATCCACACGGTACTGCATTAACTTTGCATAGTTACAAGTCAATACGAGGACCAAAGGTAAAGGGTCAACTTCTGATAAGTTTGTGGGAAGAATTGATATAATTAAATGAATATTTTTCCGTATTTAATGAATCGGTCAACCAACCATGTGGTCAGGGGTCGACAGAACAGAAATATGAATGAAGGCATACTGTATGCAAATAATAATAATAAAGCATTTACATTATGTGCAACTGGTTGAAAAATACTTCCATAATCAACTCAAGAATTTAAAGTAATTAGTCCCTTTGGTAAATTTGGATGCTGTAAAAAGAAGACGAAGATTGTCAGAATTATGTGATGTGTAAAAACAATACACTTTGAACAATCTGATCACATCAGTCAGTCAGCTACAACGTAGGACCAGGCACATATGTGCATCGGTTCAAGTTGCCATATCTCATCAGCACAACAAGATGAACATCGGATTCATTGAAGTAGTTAGTTCAGTGATGGTAATATATAAAAGAAAGATTGCATATAAGGACATAGTACAAGAAGAAAGAATTAGTCGTGGGGGAGGAAGAAATATAGATATGTGTAGAAATACATTCGGACTTACGCAAGTGAACCGTGCGTGAAGAACTTCCGGTATATATACTATGTCTAGTTAACCTTTTACTTTTTCGTATATAAATGTTCATAACAAGTATATGTGTGGTCAGATTGTTCGAAATGTATTGTGCTAATATAACACATAGTTCTGATAATATTCGTCTTCTCATTACAGTACCCAAAGATGTTTTACTATAATATTTCATCTACTTTTCTAAATAGTAAGATATAATTATTAGGATTTTAACATATAAGCAAAAATAAAGTTACTTGAATCTCATTGGATGGAATGTATTCTTCTTTAAACTGTTCACCCTTCAAGCGCGAAAGTAAAGCTGATTTTCCAACATTACGATCACCGCGTATAACAATTTTCACTAAAAATATAAGTAGTTTAAATTTCTTAATTACTAGATTCATATATATATATATATATATATATATATATATATATATATATATATATAATTCAAGGGAGCATATAATACTGAACCACTATGACCGATTTTTACGCCATCGATGGCAAGTATCGTGCGGTCGTCCCCGAATAAGCAGTTAGAACCTACCGACATGGCTCAGAAAGACAATCAAATAATTTTACCTTGCTTTGTCTGCCCGTAGTTTCCCAATCTACTATTATGTTGACTGACATTATATATCAGAGTAGGAGGTGGCACGCATAAACCATGTCTTAACCAAGTCGGTTGACAAAGGTTTATAGCCTTATTAATGAATTTAGCTTTTTTATTTAGTATTCTGTTCATAACCACACAATTATTCACTCTGTGGTTCTAATATGTGTGACTAATACCTTTAATCAAATATTTTTAGCCGACGTGTGTATTTTACTTTCATGAGTGATCTATGTAGCCTCATGGTAGCAAAGAGTGAACTATTGTTGTTAGTTTCCGTAGGAACATCCCGTTTATATGTATGTATATATATAAATACTTTTACTTCATTCTCCTCTAATTTTACCTTAATCAGTACTAAAAACTATACGAGATGTCACTGGTTACTACCCGTTTGTCAATTAGCGTCAACAACTCATCCTGACAAGAAATCACTCGTTTCCTTATTGAGATGAATCCAAAACAAAACGTTCTATGCATCATTTTAGGAAAATAACAACCATTAAGTGTGCTGACGTTGAATTTTCTAGTAATCTGGCGTAAAGTAGCGAAGACTAACGAATGTTATTCAGTACTAGGCACTTATCAACGATAGCAGTGAAGATAATAGAAACCAGTTTAATGTGAAGATGCAGTCCATCCTACTAAAATATTCAGAAAAAGAACTGAACATCCTGGTAGAGAAACTAATTTTTGAACTCAGATTGGACAATGCTTTCAGGTTTTCAGTGGTGGTCTAACATTGATCGATTCATGATCTCAGTCATTATTGACGTAACTGAAAAGATATTTCCAATTCTCTTTAGAAAGATTCTGGAAGAACAAGTACCAGAAGGTTGGAAAGAGGTACACCTCGATACCTGAAAAAATCGTCGCCATCATACAGAACTTCTAAGATGGACTACATTGCAAAGCTGTGCATGGGGGAAACTCACAGATACTGGTGTTAAACAAGGCTACTAACTATTACCTTTTCTCCTCCTGTTAACTGCTGACTAGATTATGAAGGCCTCTGTTCCAGAAAAACAACATAACATAGTGGAAACCTTGAACACATACGGATGCTTTGGACTTTGCAGATGACTTAGCCCTTCTATCCCATACACAACAACAAATGCAGATAAATACAGCCAATATGGCGGAGGACTCCTCAAAAATAGACCTTAACATTCACAAGGGAAAAAGTAGGATGTCGAAGTACAAAACAGTGAGCATTAACTACATTACACTTGATTGGGAATCTCTAGAACAGGTAGGACTCTCCATATACCTGCAGATTTTTATTGATAAAGAAGGAGGATCTGATGAAGATGTGAAGGTACGAATCGACAAAGCAAGGACAACATTCCTACAATTGAAGGGTGTCTGAAACTCAAATGAACTGTTACCTAAAACCAAAGAATTTTCAACACGTTTTAAAATTTTATTGTATGGAGCTGAAACTTGGAGAATTGCGACTATCACTAAAGCAGTGCAGGTTTTGTAAATATATGTTTACGAAAGATACTTCGGATCCACTAACCGCAGACTATCGACAATAGCCTAATGTGAAACACAACAAACCAGTTGAGGAAGAAATTAGGAAAAGAAGCTAAACGCAGATAAAACATGCTTTGTGGAAGCCATGTAAAATTACATCGCAAGATCTAACTTAACAAAGGGAAAAGAGGAAAACCAGAGAGCACATAACGCCGAGAACCAAAGGCAGACATTAAGACCATGGGCGCCAATCGGCAACAACTAGAAAGGATCCCAGCACAGAGTTGTTTGAAGAACCCTGGTTGGTGGCCCATACACTGTGTAACAGGCCCCAACAAAAATAAATATATATAATAAATTTGAGGTCTGATGAACTACATTCAATATTTAGAGTTCGAATTCACTGATAAAGAGCTCTAGATATGGATAAGTTATCTATAAATAATCCTTACAAACTTGAATATAAATATATTCATAGCGAGATTTCAAATCACAGAATTTAGTTCTTTAGTCAGTCGGATGTAGAACCAGTGAAGTGTTTATTAAAAATGTAGAAAAAAATGGTAGTGATGATGAAAGTAAACATTTTAATTTTCACGCCAATTCCTAAACATACTATTATAGTCGACTCCATGAGAAAATTTCTCTTGTAAATATTCACCAATAGGCTGTATATCGGCAGATGAATACCTTTTGGTAGTTGATTCATTTTTATCCCACCACTTTCTAGCTAAAGACATGCTAAGCAAAAATTCACAAGTTCAGTATAGACGTTTATTTTCGATTTTGTACAAATAATTTTAGCGGTAAGTACGGTACTAAAAGTCAAATAAAAAAAAGGAAAATGAAGGGGTATATGTCAAAAGAAATTGTTACACTTAGGTATATGAATAAACAGTACTAAATAAATTCAACCACATGATTTGCAGAGGTCCTGTTGGTTTGGGGATAGTCGACTTTAATTGAAGACTAATATCGGTTGAGGAAATTTGATGGGAGGGAGGCTAAACTAATCGGCACTAGATTTAACAAGTTTGAGGATAGTTGAACTACATTGTTTAACAACTATAGCGATGATCTTTAACGAATCCATTTGATGACAAGTATCCATTATATGATACGATATTGTATTACTTAAGAGAGTGTAGATTTTGAGACGAGAACTTTCAAAATGTAAGAAGATTTTACAAGATAACCACTTTTTCATTTTACTTGTGCTATAATATCACGTTAACAGGAAGTAATACGTTAGAAAGCACGGGGTCTCTTGGATTATTGAAATTATACATTAATTCCGAGATTTTGCAGATATTTCTAAAACAAAGGATAAGTATTTATATACCGTCTCTAAACTAATTTACTCTTCCTAGAAGTTGACTTGACAAAGTAAATGAGTTAAATTCATTTGTGATTAAAGAAAGTATTACACATAAAACATACCTTATGCACAATTAATTATGATAAATAACATGACAGTGTGATGCTTCCAACCAATGGAGCAGGGGTTTAAGCTTCTTCAAGATAACTCCATACTGCTTGCTTAACTACAGTGTATCAGCATCTAACTTTTCCCATATAGGGAAAAACAGAGAAGCCAAAAGCTTCATAACTGGTTACGTCAATAACAAGGTGCTTTAAGGTGTAGATGTTTTACGCTAAACGTTGTGAACCATAACAGGATTTATATTAAATCCTAAAAGTATTCGAGTCTCGTTTTTCACTAAATATAAAGTTTCTACAGAATTTCGGATGAGTTACGTACATAATGAATTACTTCGGAGGTTAACTTCAAAAGGGCAAAACATTTTTTATAAAATACAGATCACACAAAGTTTGTGGTGATATTGTGATAAGCTATTACTCCAAATAGTATTTTTTCTGCATATGATTAATAAATCTACTATATTTTACAAATCGGTAAACATACGGTTCCGTTGATCATATGGTTTGTGCTAATTGCAACACAAACAACACATACGTGAAAATATTGTATTTCGGAAACACGTAAACTTCCTAAGGGAAAAGTAGATTGTATAGTGGAAGCATAAAGAGAGTATACATCTGGGAAAAATCGACTTTAAGAGGAATCTCGGCAAGCCCTTTTACAAAAAACTTTTTTCAGCACAGGTTTTCTATTGAAATTGAGGAGAATGATTTGCAGTTTAATTTTTCAGAATTCTGCCCAAAATAGATTGTTTGAACAGAGTTATGTGGGGACTATAAGTAAATATAAACTGTCTTGCTGTTTAATCGGTTATCCCATACATCAAACTACCAATTAAAGCATGTTCTAGACATACTAGCAGTCTAAATAAATTATTTAGGGACTTTGACGCATATTTAGGTGTGGACAAATCAATATTTTTTTGGATAACTCCCGTCGGTATTAGAAAATCCATCTGTAAGTAAACATTTAAACGCATTTTAAGGTTAAAGACTGGTTCGACATTCTGTAAGAATAAAAGGGATTTAGTATTATTTGAAGTCAACCACATAGGGCTAACTTCTTATAAGAAAACAATGGGGTCCGCTTATATATTTAAGTACGTTCTTGCGGCTTTACATGTCTTGAGTAGTTATTCACTTAATTTTGAAACTTTTTTTTCTGAACAAATGTCAGGATCGACTATTCTATGAAAGCGTTTAAAATGTTAATAGCTTCTCACAAACCTACAAACTTAAAAGAAACGTACGTTTTCATAATGACGGGAATGTTTGTCATGTACAATGGCTTAAAATGGTTTCAAATGCTTCTGGGTGTAATAGGGGAAGCTTTAGCTTAACGGGCTTCCGTATCTAGTAGCATTGGATCGCCGATGTCTCCAGGTGAGAAGCTAGGTATATTTAACAATAGTAGAGAAAAAGTGTTATTAAACTATAGTGAGATACTGTCTTCAAGAATATGTCAAGTTTTCTCTTAAAATACTGCTGGAAAGTCTCTTATATTAACTGAGCAGGCAGTGAATTTCAGTAGTTGACTATTCTTAAGGAGTAGAAGGTGTGTCTACAGTCCGTTCTGCTGTATTGTTTTCGGGTGTTACTTCTAAGGTACTGAGTTTAAGCAGGTGTTTAAGGGGTGTCAAGGAGTGTTAAGTTGTTATGATTCATGAGAAAGTCAGCTCTAAAACGCCCATACTCTAATCGGTAAAGTTTCAGTGATTTGAGGCGCGCTTTGTAAGGCTTGAGTTCGTGAAGTGATTTTGTGGCTCGCCATTGGATGCGTTACAGTGTCCTTATCTTTTTAGAGTGATTGAGGAAACGCGACATTTACATGCCCTAAGTGGAATAGAATAGAACCGTTGAAGATTAGGTGGAAATTTCTGCCGTTGACCTGACCAGAAATCTTATGCCGAGGTGTTCCAGTTACAGAAAAACCTCAAACGACCCAGAATGACATTATGGAATTATGTATTACACTTAAACGTTATCTTGGATTTCGTAACAATCGTAAAGACCGGCATACCCCGCGGAGAAGCATTTCACGTAAGCGATCTGGTGCTGGGATCACAAATACTACGGAAAGTCTTCCAGAAATTGCAGAAAACCCTGCAAATTTCAGAGCTCAAAACCGACCGGCACAAAAAACAATTCGAGAGATTTCCCAACCGGCACTCGTTAACGGAAACCGTAGCCGGCAAACATAGCCGTCTGTCATACGTCACAGATGTGATAACGTAAGTTCACCATCTCGTCGATACTGGCGCAGAAGTTAGCGCCACTAGGGAGGTAGTGATCGGTAGTGGCAAACAAATCCCCAAAACAAATAACTCTGTAAGTTTGCGACATTGGATTCTGACCACATTAGTTTTAATGGACTCACGTAGTTCGAGGCGCTCGATCATGCATCTTCACCAGATCACGAGTGAGAACGCCGTGCTCAACATCCCCTGCAGTCACTAGCCAGCCTAGATCAGTTGATCCTTGACATATTGATAACCTATCAAATATATCTTCGGACCTCCTCGCTTCTGTCTTTTGATTTCACATGGTGGGTACTATTCATATTAGGTGTTACTGGTTAAAGCGTTGTCAAACTTCAAATACCTGTGGCATCTTTACCAGCATTACCAGCGCGAGGCTTGCTAGGAAGGTGTGGGGGATTGTTAAAGGAGACCCATTTGGTACTTAGTTTTTATTACTATTTTCATTTTCATCAGTTCTCATAGTTCGTACAATTATCAGTATTACCTGTAAACTTGTCGTTTAATGTACATGATCTTTGACCTTCCGTTGCAGTATATGAACACACATAACATGACACATTGATCGTTGCTCACAAATACTCTGCTGCATACATAGGCTGTTCTAGGTTTCTGGACAGACCAATCTATTCGTTCTTCTCAAACCACATTTTGAACTTATCGCTTATTGACTTATCAGCCCTAACTGTTTTTATGTGACGTATATGTGCCGATTGCTTATCCTATTCATGATATATCTATCCTGGAAGCCTAAGTGTCGCTCGATACACGAGGTGAGCTGCAGTGTATCCAACTTCAGCTTTTGCTGCATTGCGAATACCCAATAAAACGAGTGGAATAGAGTCGATCCATTGTGAGACGTCTGCATTTGAGAGTAAAACTTTGAGTTGTCGGTGAAAGCGTCCCACCAGCCAGTTTGCTCGTGGGTGGTAGGTGTTCGTTCGGAATCATGTGATTTATAATAATGTAGTCACACAAAGGAAAAGTTCGGACTCGAACTAAAGTCACCGGTCTGTAGTACTAGCTGAATGTCAATAGAATTTTGCTACCCATCATTCGAAGGTAGCGCGGGCCACTGCTTCAGCAATAATGTCTTCAATGGGTACTGATTCGAGTGAAACGGTATACACACGTCAAGAGATGAAAATATTCATTTGAATCTGGTAAGGGTTCTATCAAATCCAGATGAACATGGTCGAAACAAGCGTCGGGAGTTTTGAATGAGCCCATGGGACATTTGTTGTGTATGATCACCTTAGATTTCTGGTATCCTACACAGGAGCATGCTCATTCTCTCCCAGCTTTATTCATGCCAGGCCAGCGAAATCGTTATGGTATGAGTTTGGTGGTTGCTCGAATACCTGGATAACAAATCTTGTGCAACGTATTGAAGACGTTGCGTCGATAATGTTTCGGCACGATTAGGCGATCCCTACTTGTAGATGTGTCGCATAATAAAGTTTCCCTACCTGATCCCATCTGTTTAATACCCAGTTTTAGGGTTTTCGAATATAACTCGTAATGACAGTCAGGGTCTTCTTCATAAAGCTGGTCAAGTTTAAGAGGGTCGATTCTTTGGAAACTTTCCAGGGAAGTTATGCAAAACCAAGCGTCTGCAACTACATTATTCGCTCCAGAAATCAGTACACACAAACTAAGCGGAGTCATAACTCGTTTATTACCAGTCCAAAAAATTCCGAAATCCAGTGCACATTTTTTCACTCCAAATAATTGAGATAAGAGCCCCATACTTTAATGAGATCTACGTACTATCTGTCTCTTGTTTTTTGTTCCCGTAATTTCCAGCGTAATACGATTATATAAATATGACGTTCAGAGTTACACACTGACGTCGCCGTAAGCTTTTAATTCTATATACCCTGTGTTACACAACCTTAAGTAGCTTCTGTACACTTCATATGCTGTTATAGACTCCTGCTATAATTATCCTGTCAACCAAGCGTGTGACTCACGCTTTATCATTTTCAACACATAAGCCGGTATTCGCAACTGAATTTGATAGTATCTCTCTGATAAAGCAGGTTCACGCTTTCTTTATAGGCATGACTATTGATTCACAACATTGGTTTACAGATAATATGCTCCACAAATAGAGTTGTAAATAGGTAAATTCCATGAGAATAAATCGCAGTATGTTAGTGCAGATTTACCAGCGAATTAATAGTTGGGTATGTGCGTTTATAATGTACCATGAGCGCAGTTTTTGAGACCTGCTTCAACGATGGCATTGCGACCACATTGTGACCCTGGCAAACACACAGCAGGTCAAAAATCGGCATCCTTATGTTAGAATTGTGGTGCTGCCAAATATTCATGCAATACAACTGTATACTGAAAAAATTCATATGATCGAAATAGTGTTGTGTTTCCGCTTATTGATAGAACTTTGCTCTTTATACGAATTTCGAATATAATACGTTCGATTTCCTTCACAAGTTCTCTCTGAGTTGGTACTGAAATATGCGTGAATACTAGAGTACGAAATGAAAAATTCCGTACATTACTAGTTAGCACACCTACTTCAGTTATTTCTGATTGTTATAAGTATTTTTGTTGTTCTTTTATTATTCATATCACAGCCTAACGCCTTGATTTTCTTTCAGAATACTATGGACGGTTGGAATGAAACTTGGAAAAATTTAACAGTATTCACTTCCACATGTAACCTATACGAAGGAAAAACGATTCATGGGAAGTGCGTATATTTTCATTTTAATTTGATTCGCAATACTATTAACCACCCATCCGTCTTGTAAGTATGGAAATGGATAACTGTAATGTCATTTATTCCAAGTGCTTACCTAAGACAACCCAAGATTCCAACTTTGGTGCAAAATTGACGGTGCTATTGAAAAACTCGTGTGTGTATAGCCAAAACATTCTTCAAGACTTTAATTTTTTCTGAAATAACTAACAAGTTTGGTAAAAATCTGAAAACATTCAGAGCAAATTTTATGAACCACTAAACAAAATATCTCTAGGTTTTTACTAGATTTGGGTTTCACACAAATTTTATACTGTATTTTTCCAGGCCCGGAAATTTTCACTGGGTTCGGGGACATTCTGCAGTTTTCGTACGTGAAATCCCAAAGAACAAACTGCTTTTGGTATTTCTACCTACAATATCCACATGATATCTCGTTAATCAACGTTGATAATTGGCAGTTAATCTCGGCAATAATTCACAATCCATTAAATAGACCGAAATACTTTGTGTTTTAAAACAATAAAATGATCAAAACAGAATCTATAAGGGATTACGGAGATTCCGGAAACGGTGCATACACCCTATGGTCTAAGATCCAGTGTTGTGGAGAGACATGGTTCCGTATAATCTAGACTATCGTATAGTGAACAGACAAGTGGTAGATGAGAATAACAATATATTGTTTCAAAAAGTCTTATCAGTGACTAAGAGAACTTGGATATAAAGAATATGCAGCAAATTGAATCTGTAAAGGCTATGGTGTCCACTATGAATGCCTAATTTTTAAATTGTACGAAATGCCTTGGTTTGGTTGGAATGGATCACAATCAGGGAGTGATATCTAACGATGCAGCCTGTGAAAAAAGACTTGCGTAGTTTTGAAGCTTCATGTCTCAGCAATTTGAGAATCAAAAGGAGGACACTTGAACAGATAGACTCTGTCGCTTGTGTTCAATTAAGTGTTCTGTATTCGGTTATCTTTACCTATAGGTCTGCAGCGAAGAAAAAATGAGTACTTTTGTAGTACACATTATATAAGAGCAATTCCAACTTCTTGGCTCAAAAAGTTCTGATCTGAAAATCTTAAGGGTATACTCGGCATATGACTTTGGTTGCTGATATGTTTAATTACTTACTTAGGTCTATTACTCTCAATGAAGCATAGGCCGACAACTAACATTCTCGAACCCACTCTGTCCTGGAACTCCCTTTCTAGTTCTGTCCAATTTTCATCCATTCTTTTCATGCCAGTTTACATTTCTCGGAGTAATGTGTTCTTTGATT